TCCTGCGAGGTGCCCCTGAGGACGCGCAGCTCCCACACATGCCCAGGGCCTAACGAAAGGTGATTGAGGCAGCGCCCGTGCTGCATGACGATGGCAGGGAGTGCTTGAGGCTGCACCTGACAGAGAGGAGGGCCAGGCTCTCAGAACCTGGCCAGCAGGGAGAAAGAGCTTTTTGTTTTCCTTTTTCTTTTTTTTTCAAACTCGTGTATGAAAGAATTCTGCTGACCACTACTGGCCTCGGCATAACACTGTGCTCATCATTCCCGCCAAGGCTTCTCGATAGAAGACCGTTTCAGGCTCCGGTTTCCTTACGCTTCATCCCTGCAGTCACCATCTCCAACTCTGCTGTGGCCCCAGCAAATGGGAGGAGAAAGGTTGGGCACGAACAAAATTCAAGGTCTATGTAAACTGCCTGGCCAAAAAAAAAAAAAAAAAAAAGCGGCTGAATGTTAACTCTTCGCTGTCAACGAGCAATAACTGTCCTTCCCAAGAGGCCTCGTGGGCCATCACAGGCTGCTTAGGTTGTCCCTGGATGTTTCCTTGCTCCATCCCCTCGGGCACGCACTGTCAGCAGTGGGGTGGACATTAACTGTTTTCTGCTCTTGTTTTTTTTTTTTTTTTTTTGCCTTGCAGCAGAAGAAGTCGTACCTGGAGCGGAGCGTGAAGGAGGCGGAGGACAACATCCGGGAGATGCTGCTGGCCCGAAGGGCACAGTAGCTGCCAGCTCCTGCCCGGCGCCACGGTGAGCCCGGAGTGAGTGTTGCCTGTGGTCACCGCTGCCTGGTGCATGGGGGCCTGTCCCGCCTTGCCTGGAGCTGCTTGTTTCAATAAACTGCTGCAGAGCCTGTGGTCACTCATTCTTCTGCCTGCAGCGTCTCGCAGGGGTCAGCGAGCGAGACACTCAAGGGCCAGTTGTGTCCTCATCGTGGTGGACTTGGCTGAGTGCAGGTGCCAGGCGTGAGCTCCCCGCAGCGCTCAGCGCCCAGACGAGCACTGTGCAGGGAGTCCTCAGGGTCTGGCTGCGGCTGCTCCCGCTCAGGTGTCTTGGGGACACCCTGGCACATGGGTCCTCCGTCTCGCAGGGGTCAGCGAGCGAGACACTCAAGGGCCAGTTGTGTCCTCATCGTGGTGGACTTGGCTGAGTGCAGGTGCCAGGCGTGAGCTCCCCGCAGCGCTCAGCGCCCAGACGAGCACTGTGCAGGGAGTCCTCAGGGTCTGGCTGCGGCTGCTCCCGCTCAGGTGTCTTGGGGACACCCTGGCACATGGGTCCTCTCCGGAGCAGCAGCGGTGCAGGTTAGAGGCAGCACTGGGGGCCGGATGCGGGGTCCCCTCGCTGGAGAGCGGGCGCAGCCCTCTTGCTCCAGAGACCCCGTGTCCTGCTCAGGCCGGGCTGCGCGGCTCGGCTGCGTCCTGGCCATCTCCGCGGCTGACTCGGGCTGTCATTTGTCTCGCTGGTGACAGGCTGGTGCCCTGGGCCCCTCCAGGAGCGC